TGTGATATTATGATACTATAAAAGTGGCAGTGTGATACTGTCGAATTATGAAACGGATTCTATGATACTGCGAAAGTATGAAACTATGAAACTGATACTGTGATGCCGTAAAATTATGAAGTGCAAAAGAAAATACTGTGAAGGTGTGAAACTATGTCATAGTGGTGTTGGTATGATAAGTCGATACTGTGACTTTATAGTTGTACTATAGACCTTCACTGTACACAGTGGGCATTCAGGTGGAAATTTAGAAAATAACAGTGAGCTTTCTTTTTCGTAATTTAAATAGTGTTTCATATACTTCGAGTAGTGGCCGATTTAATGGCGATAGAATTTTTATTCTACGACTTTTCCTTCTATAAAAGATTTGAAATACAAAAACACCATGTAAATGGGCTATTTTTTCGGAAAATTTCTATTTCTATTGAAGGATAGTAAATTAGAATAAAACCGAGATCATATTCGGAAAGAACACAGTCAGACGAACACGAAATAGAAAAGAATGTTATTTTTCGAGTGAAACTTAAGAGTTTTGGAATGGATTTTTTCGAAAACGGTCTAGGCTGTAAAGGCTCTCTCCGGTATTTTGAGAACGCGCAGCTTAGCGCAGGTCTGAACTAACATATTTTTATACCAAAATGTTCCTCGCGAGGTCGTGCATCTATGGTGAATGTGCAAAAGTGTGCATATTTTCCTGGACCGAGATACTGGTTTTCCAAAATCCCTCGGTTTTTGAGGTAAACTGATCTTTTCGCACTCAAAAAACATTTTTTCATTTTTTCAAATCCGGTCTCTGGCGTGATAAATCGGGCGGCTTGTCCAGCTAACGGCCTCCATTTTTTGCTCTTTTTTGCAAAGTTATTGCAATAACGCTGCAAACTAATCTAAAATGGCAACTGGATGATTAAGTAAATAAAACATTTCTCCACAAAATGAAAAATGTTTCTGTTCTGAACGTTGATTCGTTATGAAAATACAGCTGTTGTACAAACAGCTCCAAAAATCGATTTTTGGGCTATCTAAAAAGCGTGTCTAAAAGAGTGAAGACGAGTTGGTAAACATTGAACAAGTATACCAGTTTGTAGAAACTTGTTCGCTCTACAAGATGTGACAGCTTGTCAAGTTCGAAACTACCCTAATTAATCTGTATCAATCTAAGAAACACGGTAACGCTATGACAAGAAACGGTCAAAAGTGTCACAGCGTTACCGTTTTTCTGGTTTTTCTTAGATTGATACAGATTAATAGAATAGTTTCGAACTCAACAAGCTATCACATCTTGTAGTGCGAACAATTTTCTACAAACTGGTATACTTGTTATTATATTTTGACCACACGTAAACTTCGCACATATCGTGGGTGTGCACATTTATTTAGAGAATTATGTGAAAAAAAAAGTCTTTGTATTTATTTTACCATCCACAGCGTATCAATTCCCCTGTTATCAACTAATAGTAGTAGACAATGAAACTGTTCTGCGTAGTTCACTTGTTTATACGATGTATCCTAACGGGTCAGGAAAGTGAAAGTCACATTTTGCTAGATTCAAGCTTCTTGGATTACTACTGTGTTCTGGCGGTAAAGAACAGAAGTATTTGCGAAAAACTTCTCCATATTTTAGAAGTAACTCAGTTGAAAATGTGCGCTAATGGTAATGACAGCATTTCGTCTTTTTGGATATAGGTTGTCTCTATCAGACAATAAAATATGAAACGTAGAGTACCCACGGAAAAATTTTTCGAATAAAACCGCGGGTTTCTTTTGTCTCACTGCGATTTCTCTGTAGCAAACCGCGGTGGCATTCCAAAAACGCGGTTAACCGCGATTTGACTCACCGTGGTAAGAACAGACCGCATCCAAACTGCGGTTTGAAAAACCGATGAAAACCACGGTTTTTATCACACTGAGTTGCGATGGCGCCACCGGCGAAAAACGCGGTTTCAAAGGGATGCAATGTAGTGAGAATGAACCGCGGGAGGTCTGTCAATTCATACAGCGAAGCTCAACAGTATAACCATGAATTCACAGTATCCACATATCACACCAATACCAACGCAACACAGTATCATAGTATCATAGTATGACTTTCATAGTATCATAGTGTGACGTTCATAGTTTCACAGTATCATAGTATGACCTTCATATTATAACTTTCATAGTTTCATACACTATTTACCTAAAAAGAAGTAGTGCAATGCTGCCTGTAACTCACCCTCATACTACCGCCCTCCCTCCTCCCCCTGCGCTCCCGGGTAGTTAGGTATGGCAGTATTTGAAGTGATACGGTGAAAGTCATACTGTAATACTGTGAAATTATGAAACTATGAAACTATGAAAGTCATACTACGACACTGTGAAACTGTCAATAAAACTGCGGTTCGATGATGTCGCGTTCTCCACCTGACTGGACAGCGCGGTTTGTATCAGCAAACCGCAATACCAGAACCGGAATTTCTCTATTTTTTGTCGCCAGGAAGATGTCGTATCTGGTGTGTCGTCAGGATAATCATAGTCAGGGATCCGACATCTTCTGATTTTGAACCTCTTTTCCTGAGGACTTTCTGATTTTCTTGCTTTGGATCTGGTATCCCTGGTTATCTCCCACATCTGTTTCTTACTTAAAACACTTAGATCGGTAAGATATAACATCAGTTTTGATCATTGTGTAAACAACCCGAGATGGTCCAATGGAAACATGTTGGACAAGCAAGTCAAAGGTAAGGAGTTCGAATCTCACACAACGCATATGAACGATTAGCGATTTCAGGTAGGCTAACCGTGTCACAGGCTCACCGCAGTGCAATAGAAGCAACAACCACGGTCAGAAACCTGTCTTTGGAAATATAAGTCCGATCGTGACCAAACTTTTAATAGATGCTGATCTTGTGAAAGTCTGGTGACTGAAATTTTTTGTTTGGCTCCATCACGCATGGTTTCTGAGATGCCGCCACAACAGTGACCAAAATGGCTGCTCGTAAGTTTTTTCAAGGGTTCTCAGTAACGAAACGTTTTGGAGAACTTGGGCTAGTCTTAAATTGATGAAAACACATGTGGCTAGAGACTGATAGAGCCGGATTTTTGCCATTTTCCTTTTCAAATTAATGCTCAGTGGCAAAAGCCCAAAATTCGAGAAAGTCTCAACTTTGGTAAAGATGTTTTTCTAATCACAAATGTACATCGCATATAAAACGTCGGACTCTGTCAGCCTCTAGAGACATGTGTCAGCTTCAATTTAAGACCTTCTCGAACTCTATGTGATGTTTTATTACCGAGAAATCTGGGAACTACGAAATGGTGTTAAGATGAGAGTTGCTTTCGATATATGGTGGCGCCGGTATCTGATACATGTTTTAGGGCTTTCAGCAAAACTCTTATAACTCTTGATCAGAACATCATTCAGAGCTGGGAAATATCTCATTTTGATCACAAATGTTTACTCTATTTTGCTGTATACTAAAAGTAATTTTTGATTTGCTTTTTGATCAAAAAGTAAAACTTTTTCGAAAAGCCAGCTTTTTAAGGTTTTCAGAAAACTTGTCTAAAAACCTCCATACCCCTTCGGTGAGGGCCAAATAGCATTGGATCCTGATAGTAGATACTGTGGGCTATCTGATGATGTGCTTTGCTCAATATCGACCTTTTATAAAAAATTTATGTTTCTAACGGGAGGGGTTGGGAGGTGCCATAATGTAGAGCTCATTATCTACAAAGCTAGTTATTCTATATAACACGTTTAATGCGAATTTTAAAACAGATCCTGTTGGTGAGATCTTGCACGACGGGAAGGCATGCTTAAATTTTCGTTTTTGAGATTATGCACAGAATGAGGTAGAGTGTTCTAGGAGAAATCTTTCGGTGTTGGACAACATATGGCCGGAATGAATTGATGAGAAGGATGATATTAAGGCTCGAGAGTATTAAAATCGAATTGCTCGTTTAATAAAATGATACTCACGAAGTTTCAGTTAACACCTACTAAGATTTACGCGAGAAGTGATAATAGCTGGCACTACCAATAACAGCGCGACTTGTAATTACTTTCCGCATACGTTTCATTAGGGATTAACCAAAAATTGATGAGTGTCATTTATTAAACGGATAATTTGATTTAATACTCTCGAGCCTTAATATCACCCATCCATCTCATCAACTTATTCCGACCATATGTTGTAGATGTTGCATTATTCTATTTATAACAAACTAACTTTTTACAGTGTAGCGTCCTCGAGTAAGCAACATGAAAAGATCACATGTTTCTTTCTAAAGGATATTATGCAAATTTCGGAACTGGAGGCGTCAAGTTACCGTTAGATTCTCAAGTAACGGTAACTGCTGAGTTAATTTTATCACTTTCTTTCATCCTTGTTTAGACCGGCTCAGATACCACACAGCGTTGATAGAGTAACAGAAACGTAAGGGGAGAGTTCAATTTCTTTATTTTTACTATAGACGTCCTATAATGAAAATGGTCAGGCCTTTTTGCACACTACTAGTGTAACATTAGTTCTTTTTTATGGGCAGAGGGGGTTACAGTGTTTTTGCCTACGTGGACAATCTCAAAGGAGATGATGTAACTGTAAGATGTAAGAAGGGTAACTGTGGCACTTCAATTCGAGACACTTGAAAAATTTTCGAACCTAAATCGCAAAAATTAATCTAAATCAAAAAATAATCTACATCTCAAAAATTTTGCATTTCAAGCTTAGTTTGGACTTGTATGAACCTGCAATGAATTATGAATATCGAAACCTTTACTTGACTTTTTGCAGTCAAATTAACTTGTACATCTACACTATATATTATTCCAAAACTAAACCGGAAAAGGTATAATGATCAGTTCTCTCCGTCTTGCACCGGATGTTTGTAAAGAGCCATAAACGTAATCTCTACAACCGTAATGTCATCTTAAAAACACATAAAACGTAGTTTATTAGACATGTCGAGTGTGGTGACAATATTTAGTCTTTCGAATATATTCGAAATTCCCATGAGAACAACTTATGATGGAACCACCCGAGGTAATAAATCGATTTCGGATTGGGACTATCTTTGTTAGAAAGACCCTAACGAGTAGTGGAATATCCAAGGGGGAAAAAGCATACTTCTGTACTTCTGGTACTTCTCCGTACTTCTTGATACTTCTTCGTACTTCTTCGTACTTTTTTGTACTTCTCCGTACTTCTGAAGTACGAAGTACGAAATACGAAATCCCGTATTTCGTACTTCGTACTTCAGAAGTACGGAGAAGTACAAAAAAGTACGAAGAAGTACGAAGAAGTATCAAGAAGTACGGAGAAGTACCAGAAGTACAGAAGTATGCTTTTTCCCCCTTGGGAATATCTCAACTTGGTTCATTCCTGTGATGCTTTGTTGCTGAGATACCGAATTTTTAGTCAGTTTTTGCCTATAGAGCTTGAATTTCGAGCAAAATCCAACTTTCCAATTTTGATTTCAAACTTGCCACACTTGTAGCCCATGGTCATAGTAGTACGGCACTTAAGTTTGAAATCACAATTGGAAAGTTGGATTTTGCTCGAAATTCAAGCTCTATAGGCAAAAATTGATTAAAAATTCAGTATCTCAGCAACAAAGTATCATAGGGATGAACCAGTTGAGATATTCTACTACTCGTTAGGGCCTTTCTAACAAAGATAGTCCCAATCCGAAATCGATTTATTACCTCGGGTGGTTCTCGCGTTAGATGAAGATAATCGGTTTACACTAAACTTTCAAATTGTTCTCATGACAAAAACTCGAGCACTTCTGTTCTTGAGTTCATCAAACACTATCGGACACCATCTACGGTGCAACAGAGCGTATTGCTTTGAATTTAGGTAATTAGGTCATGAAAGCACGTTAAGATCAAAGAAATTGCATTCGAGATTAAATATCCAGTCCTTTCTGAATATCAAGTTAGTTGTAATATTTAACGTCTCGAGAGTTCTAAATATGAATTACATCGTTGAAAATGTGATTTTAAAAGATCTTTCTATGTTTTACTACAAAATATGATGCCTGAAAGAACAAAAATATTCAGTATAGTATTAAATTTTAATATGTTAAGAAAATTAACACAAAAGAAAAATCTGTTGTGCTGTTTTTCGTTAAAAGATTAAAACTCTCAAGGATCATTGACTTATTTACATTAGAGACTAGAAAAAATAACGTCACTTTGAAAATTTAACATTGAATTCTTTTTCTCTTCATGCAATAAATATTACAATGATGAATTTCATCTATCAAAAAAAAAAAAAAAAAATGTTTTGAATAATTATCATCTCAAAATAAACGAAAAAGAATCTATGTTATATTGAAAACTAGTGTCATATCTTTAGGGTGTATTCATGCATACTCTAGTCGACATTATCAAATGAAAAGTGTCTTGTTGTCATCTTGATCATTATGATGTTTAGATGTATGAATAAATGAGTATAAAAAAAAGAGACATATAGTTGAGTAAAGGTAAAATTGATACTGATCATAATCACAAATCAATTATACATTTATATATATATATATATATATATATTTTAGAGAAAGAAAAGAGAAAAAATGGGTGAGAGAGACAGAGAGCTCAGTTTGAATTTTATATTAAGTAAATATATTATTTAAAAAAAATAGTTATAATATGTAGAAGAAAAAAAAAAAGAAAAAATATTAATAATTATGCTTTTCAAAAGTCAAAGTATGCAACAACCGTCTAATACTGTTTTGTTAACAAGTATAACAAGTTTACTTCTTCTTCTTAGTTTATATTATTTAAAAACTAGTTAGTATATAAAATACAAGATCTTAATATGAATATACTCATATATATATTTATTAATTTTTTTTTAGCTCCACAACAATCGGATATTGATGAAAAAAGTGTATCAATATGTCAAATTCGAGTAGAAAGTGATTCAGATGATAAAATATTATTATCAATTTTAGCTGTTTTAAAATATTATGATTTTTATATTAGTAATCCAACATCATTATGTCAATCAACATTAGATAATCAAACTTGTTTATTAATTTATTATTGTGAACATAAATTGAAAACGGGTGTTCAACATACATTAATACAACGAGAATTAACAGAAATATTACAAAAATTTAAATTAATTGAACGTTTAAAATTTCATTATACATTTGCATAAAAAAAAAATATACAAGATTATTTTTGAAAAAACGACGTTATTTTATTATTTTATACGATATCGACAAATTTTAGGTAAACTATATCAAAACTAAATATTAGACCTTTTTTTTTTTTCTTCTTCTATTCATAGTGAACAGTTTTCTACTTTTTTCATGATCAAAAATCGGGTTCATATTATTGACTATAGAGTTAGTTTAGGATTGTTGTGTTTTACATATGTTATTTCGTTTAATATTGAAATATATGAAACAAACACGAATTCTTATACTAATTTATCCGTGTAGAAATGTTTGCTTTTAACATCGGGACTTCATGTAAATTATGTTTAATGATTGAAATGTATGTGTAGAACCCACAATTATTCATTCAGAGATAAAACTGAGTTTGCACCTGAGTATACGACTAAATAGACACAAAAAACTCAATGTGTTTTATTATCATTTGAAGAAATTTTTTGTTACACTTGATTCACCGTAAATATTTTTGTTTTTTTTTCTATTACAGTGTAAAAACATTCGTAAACGATTTTTCTTATCTAAAAATGCTTTCTTTTCAAAACAGACATTTCGAGATTCATGCGTGAACATAGAGTGGGCGACAAAAAATGATCACATACGAAAAATGATCACGACGTATAATTTCATCGTGTCTTTTTTCGAATCGAAATAAATGCAGACCTTCAGTTAGACAAAAGTCTATGTACTTTCTTTCAGTCTCCTACTCAGATCCTAATAATTTCCTCGCAGAATCTTGGATGTTAGAATCGCATTAGGATTTTACTTACCTTTGTTCTTCCAAATAGGACGGGTTTTGTGTACCTCTGGCATTATTAGAATTGCACAGAGTTTTTCTATTAAAGTCGAAGTACCTCAAATAAAATAGTAGAAGAATATGGAATGTTTAGGATCATGTTAAGAAATATATGGGTTTCTTGCTAGAGTTCTAACATCTTGATTTATCGAATGAGCACTGCTGTACTTTGTAAAACGTTACTGCATCTTTCACAGTCTTCAAATTTGATGATATATCCAGAACACTAAAGGGTCATCGGAGCTGGATGAATTTGAGTCATGACTTGGAATAAATTTGTATTTCGTTTCTACTCAAATTTGACTCAACCTTGAGATGAACGCCCCGTAAAATATGAGAAAATAGATCCTTTTATTTTTCAAGTTTATCAGTACTTCTTCAACTTGAGTCATTTCTAACTGAGGAAACTATTAATGTACGAACTTTTCAAAAAAGTATGATTAGTCTATTTACATTAAAAAGCAAGGAATTATTTTTCGTTTCTGGCTACATCCGCTCCTATGGGAAGAATTTTTTCATGTAGTGATGATTTGCTCAACGGTTGCTCTGGAGAAAAAGTATTGCGAAATTTACTAAAAGTAAAGTACTGTGTAATCGATATGGATACGCAGATTTTTTTCAATAACCTCTGAAAAATGATTGTGAGGAAAACGCGCTTCGTTCG